AAGCAAAAACTATTATTTAGGAAAAAAAGTTTGAACGATTCGGCAAATATCCGAAACGCTCGTAAAATTCCGCGATTCTGCGGCTGGAAATCTCTCTCTCCCGCTCCGCTCGGTTGGTAATAAAAATGGCGCGAAAATCGAATGTCTAATCGCGGTCGGCCCCGGCCGATGCCAGGAGCCAACCAAACGGCTGGCTGGGCTACTTCTCATCGCGGTGTGAACCGACGCGAACGTGACCTGCTCTGAAATCTCTCCTTTCCAGTTCGAAATGGAAATTGTCCTATCGGCCTCCATCTGTGTCGGAACGATACACGAAGTGTCCTGGCTCAGGGTGTTCAGCCCCTTCGAAACTTCGATCCACCGTACTAGTTGCTTTTCGGATACGGCGAACGGGAAAATTGAATATAAAGAACACAAGACAGATAAACGTGACCACGAAATATTTTTCTGTTAAATCTAGACGATGGAAGAAACGAGAGAAACAGAGAGAAAAAAAAAAGGAGAAAGACGTTTCGAAGGTGCGTCGACCGGAAGCGGACACGAATAGACATCGACCAATCGCACGATCGATGACTAGAGTTAAATTGAAATCCAGAAAAGGAAAAATAAAACGAACGAATCACGTGGGAGGCCAGACAAAAATATAGTCCGCGCGAGGAGACTCGTTAAAGGCATTTGTTTGTTTGTTTGTTTCTTTTTTTTTCGTTCTCCTTCGGGCGAGCCGATCGTATTTACCTCGAATTCTCTCAACCTAATTTGCCTCTCGAGGTCAAACTTATCGCCCTCGAGCGCGTATAGTCTGTTCCAATATGCCGAACAGATCGTCTGGAGCTCGGCTAAAAGCACAAAAGTTTCTCACAGAAGAGAAAGTACAGAAAAAGAGAGAGAAAAAAATATAGAAAAAAAAACATTAAAGGTGGATGTGGCTCTGAGTCCTGCCATCCCTTTTTTTCGCTGGGTAATGCTACCCCCACTCTACGCTCGTTGCGTCGTCTTTCGTTTGCAAGAAAACGGACCAAAAGAAAAAAAAAACGGAAAAATATTCTCCGTGCAAAAATACGTGTGTATATCTACGGTCGTCGATCGGTTGCTGTTGATCGACAAAAAAGATCTCTTACCGGTCACGATGTTCTTATTGTCGTTCTTGCGAAACGATCGGATTATTATACCTTACAGGGAGTTCGATCGTTTGCTTCGTATAGAAAAAAAAAAAAGAAGGACGAACGGAAAAACGTTGATCGAAGAAAAATATATCTACTTCTAAAATTATCCGGGTCGAGTATTCGATCGGAAAAAAACGATCTCACGATGTACTTACGGTCGTTCTACGGAACGATCAGATCTCCATTATAACATTTACGAAGATAAATATCGCCCCTTTTGTCGGAAAAAAAAATAGAACGAGGAAAATATTGGTTCGTAGAGAAATATATCTGTCTCCAAGGTCGTCCAGAACTCGACCGAGAAAACAGATCTTGTCCTTCGTGTGGATGTTCTTAATCGTCTGTTCGATTCCGAACAATTAGAATTTCGAATGTCAGAAGAGGTTGATCGCGGATCAGGGGAAAAGAATCAAGGGATGTACACAGAATATGAGTTTCTCGCGCGTTGTTTTTTTTTTTTTTTTTTTTTTTTTAAAAAAAAAAACAAAAAAGTTAACCCCGACACGAAGAAGGAATACCAGGCGGATATAAGGGGACGTGTTTCACGGACGTTCGTATGCTGGACAGGGACTTCTGACGGGACGTAAAATAACGATATTATACCGATATTTTCAATTGTACCTTCGCCCTTATAACCCTATGTAAGAAAAAATACCGGTATTTATTTCGGTTTTCGGTAATATATCGGTTTCGGTATAGCTTTCATGGTATAATACCGGTATTAAAATCATACCGATATTATACCGATATATTCGGTTGTACCTTCGCCCTTATAACCTTATATAAGTCCTACCCTTATAGAATCCGAAAAAATACCGGTATTTATTTCGGTTATCGGTAATATATCGGTTTCGGTATAGCTTTGATGGCATAATACCGGTATCAAAATCATACCGGTTTAAGTCCCTGGACTGCTGGATGGTCAAAGGGATAATGGGCTATTTTGCCTACGCGCAAAGAAACTAAGAAAAAAATAAAAATAAATAAATAAATTATAATGCGAGAACTGTTTTGTTCTACCGAAGAAGGAACTAAGGTGATTCAGCGTTATGTATTACATTGTATTATTCGACAATAACTACTTGGCTGCGATTCTACGATTCGCGGCTTGCCTAGCAGATAATTGTATTGCCACGTGATGTGTGTTTGTTTTTTTCGCGTTTTCGCATCTAATGAGTTTTACGTACGCTCTACGGAAATGGTATCTAAATACTATGGTCAGATGATCGGCCAGTCGCTACGTTAGAAAGTTCTGATGCAAATTAAATTGTGATACAGCCTCGATGCCTAAAAATTCAACGTCGTTTAGTGAACAGCCGGAAACCTCTCTCTCTCTCTCTCTCTAAAAACAAAAATAAGTAATCACTGATCAAGTGAACGAAAGAAAAAGAAAAACAGTAACAAAAACGATCTGTAATTACTCAGCGCTGCGTTCTAGCAACAAAAATTCCTTGCGTTCTAATGAGAAAACGAAAGAAAAAAAAAGAAAATAAGAAAACAAAACGGAGGATCCAGAAGAACCAGTTATAACAAAAAGAGCTGATTATAAAGAAAAACAAAAGAAGACAAAAATGGAACAGAGAGAGAGAGAAAATAAAATGAAAAAATATTTATTATGTAATTCCGTTCTGTTTTATATGTTAATTGCAACGTGTTCGTCTTTTGTGCATCGAAAAACGTTTCGACCTCGAAATCCTTCTTGGCGACTTCGTACTCAAGGTCGTACTTCTCCCCCTCGAGAACGATGATCCTCTTATGATACTGGGTCAGAATGGACTTCACGCTAGCTGTCAAAATTTCAAGTCACCTTGATAAACGCTTCGTTTTTTTTTTTTATGGCGCGGCGATGCACACGCGCGTTTCGCCGGTCGCGATTAACTCTCTACTTGTTCTTTTCCCCGGGAAACTTTCGATTTATCAGTGGTTAAACGAACAAAAATAAAAGAAAATTAAAAAAAAAAAATAAAAAGGATATCTCAATTGATTTTCGTCAACGAAATTATACGAGAGGGTGGTGGTGGTGGTGGTGGGGGGTCAACATTGTGAAAACGTGGGAACGATCGTGGCCAAAAGAATCAAAGCTGAGTAAAAAATCGACGAGAACACACGCGTTTTTGTCACACGTCGTTCCCCATCCAACGATCGAGCTGGATCCTACTCGAGGGGGCGGGGCGCTACACAGATCGAACGGCGGGGGTTATGCTCTTTTTTTTTTTAATTTTTGTTTGTTTGTTTTGTTTTATATGCAAGAACACAGAAAGCAAGAGATTAACTGTACGACAAGACGACGGACCGTTCGCCTCGAAAACCAAGATGTCGGTTAACTGATGAACACGAGAATTATTGTTCCGTTATCAAAAAGAACACCGTGACAATATTGTGAGAACACAGTAAGCTAATGGTGTGTATACGCTGAAAAAATCATCGACGGGTATGTAGAGTTAAATTATAAGTAAGTACGGCTGTGTTTATTGGTCGACCGAGTTTGCGTCGGATCGACCAAAAATGATAGAAAAGAAATGAGTAAACATACGACCAGATATAGCATTAAACGAAGAGCAGAAATAACGTGGATCGCGGCGGCACAAGAAAAAAATGAGCGAACAACAGAAAAAAGTTGTGCGAAAAGAGTGACAGATAGACAGAAAGAGAGAGAGATAGAGAAAGACAGATAGAGTAGCCGTGTTATGTGTGTCAGATAAAAAGAACAATAAAGAAAAAAGATGTATAAAAAATGTATATGTGAAAAGAAAATAAAACGTAGAGACGAAATGCGAAGCTCGCGACGCTTGCCCGGGTTGCGGGGGTAGCTACCGCGATCAGGGTAGCATATGAGTAAAGAGTTCGTCTATGAGAGGTATTCACAGTTCGTGACGAAGATTGCTTTCGATTCGTTTAAACCGAGCGTTTATTTTACTACTTATACGTTACAAAAACCGCGATAGTTACTCTTATGTGATCAGGAATTGGATCCATAACGGTACCTACATCTAAGTATATTGAATAATATAAAGATATAATTCTTTGTATTTCAACATTCCTACCACAGAAACCTCTCTGATAATAAAAATAATTTTGCTTTATGAGATCCGATATTGACAGATTTCAGGATTCAACTGTACCATGTACCTACGTCTAAATATGTTAAAATAATATAAAAACATAGTTTATATTTCCATGTTTCTACCGCAGAACTATCTCTGATAATACTAATACTGACGAAAAGCTTTGGATAAAATTCGTTTTCTTATGGTATCCGATATTGACAAATTTCAGAATTCAATTGTACCTATATCTAAATATGTTAAATAATATAAAAAATATAGTTCCTTGTATTTCCACGTTCCTACCGCAGATATCTTTCTATTAATACTAACCATCTCTGATAATACTAATACTGACGAAAAGCCTTTGATAAAATTCGTTTTTCTTTATGATATCCGATATTAACAAATTTCAGAATTCAATTGTACCATATACCTATATCTATACATGTTAAATAATATAAAAAAAAATATAGGTCCTTGTATTTCCGAGTTCCTATCGCAGAAACCTCTCCGTCCTATAATTGTAAATACTGTCTGATCGTTTATAAATAGTTGCATTGTTACCGTTGCGTAATCGACGGTCCTCAAGGTTTGGCAAACACGCCCCGAAGATAAGTACGCGACGCTTCGTACGCCGAACTGTGAATCGCAACCGCGGGCAAGCGCGTTCTATTTTGCCCAGGTGCAACAACATTGAGCATCGTTGTTAACTGTGTTTGTCTTGTGAATGCCTCGTTATTCGCACGTCTCTCGTTACAACGTTCTCGCAACCGTTCACGTTCTCAAGTACCTCGAAGTCCTTCTTCTTAACAACATATTCGAGGTCGAATTTTTGATCCTCCAATGCTGTGATCCTATTGTGGTACTCGCGCAGCACGCGCTTCACGGTCTCTGTGTGGATCAAGGTGAAAATGATCGGACAACAAAATTTTTCATCATTTCACGATTCAACGGAACGAGTTTTTTTGGGGGGTGGGGTTGGGAGTCACGTGATCGTGTTCCCTTTTAGTGGACGACTACGGTGTCTGAGGGTCTCGTTTAAGAGAGGCCACTCGAGATATTAATTTTTAATTCTGTGTCCCAGCGTGTTTGTGCATATATTCGTTGACGATCGTTTGAGGAACTCGAGCTGGTGCAAGAAATTGTACTTTTATTAATGGTTTTACGATATTTCTTCACCAAATTGTTTGTTCTAGTAGCTTCAAAATAAAACAGAAACTTTGTTGTTCATTATCACAGCTTCTATAAAAAAAAAGGTTTAAAGTTCACATACTCTAAGTCAAAGTCTTTACTTATCCCTCATTACTTTCTAATTCAAACTAAAACAACAACAAATAATCTGTACGTTTTTCTTCTACAAGTATCCTATACTTTAAAAAAATATTAACCCTCGGAAAACGGACGATTTTTCATGATCGAAAAAATATTGATAGCTACGTCTGAATACCCCCTATTGTCTTTAAATGTGTATTGAATCGAATTCCTTCAAAATACGCCAGTATTCTTATAAAATACTATAATAAACATCTCTGCGATTTAGTTCCCGTAAGCTGAAAGCTGCACTAAGTTTCTGAATTTCGGGATCAAAATGGACCCAGTCGCCATCATCCGAGGGTTAACTACTCTTCCATAAAACTCGTCATTCGGCCAAGCACAAACACCAGGTGCACAGTCACGAATTCATATCTCGAGTGTGGTCCCTCCTTAAATAAAATTCCCAAGACGCCGCACCTTTTGACAGGTGTGTCTACAAATATTCCTGCTAAAGCAACCGTCGAGCTCCCGTGTAGACATCCCACGGCGTCGCATATACATATTCGTCGAACACACACGGTTTTGCCTGGGAACCTCGGGGTTTTGGTAACTTAACGAGATCGTATACGTTAACGAGCTTTCAAGGTGATCGAACTATCGGTCCGATAATCCCATCCAGCGAGCAACCGAAAATTTCCACTCCGAGGAGCGAAGAGATCGTCTTTACGACGGATCGAACGAGCGGAAAGCACGATCAACTCGCAACGAGATTCTACCGATTATAATAGTAATCGATGGATAATTACCAGAGAAAATATCATATCTAAACGTTCGATCACGATTGGACCCTGCGACGAAGTAATCGGCGAAGAAACCTTCGACCCTGTTGTCGTGTATAATACTCTAACGTGTACGTCTTGACGAAGTTGAACGAACCCGGAGAGAGAACGCGGTTCATACACAGAGTGTCGTGTAACTCGAGGTACAAACGGGTACGGAGTGGTTTTATGTGAAAAAAATCAGTCGAAAGTGTAGAATAAAATTTTGTTCACTTCTGAAACTCGTCTATTCTTCATGATAGTAAGTAGAAACGGAATACAATGAACAGACGTGAAATCCAAGGTGCGTATCCATTTGTTGCGTAACACCGTTGCGTATCATCGTATCGTATCACTATACGATACATTTTCATACGCAACAAATTTGGACACGCAGCTTACGATCGCACGCGTGTCCAGCTGATTTTCATGTTCGATTATCTCGAAAACGAAGTGTCAAATGAACAAATTTTATTTTATATTTTACGATTTATTTATTCACGTAGAATCATCCGGTATTCCCGATTGGACCATGACTTACGTGACACTCTGTATAGATACACGTGTCACGTATATACGTAGTATCTCGACGGAATTTTCGAGGTGGGTCTAGAAGAAATGTACCTTCGCTCGCGTCGTCGGTGTTCTTCGGTTTTCCGCAGCGTTCCTCGATGATGCGCCTCCTTTCCGCGGCCTTTCTCTCCTGCTCCTTCTTCAATTCCTCGGCGGCTTTCTTGCGCAGCAACAGCTGCGGACAGACACGGTGGGGTGAGACGCGTTGTGGGTACGAGTGATCGAATAAAAAGGAACTGAAACTTCGCGGATAAGGATCTTGGGGATATCCAAGGGACTGCAATAGAAACCAGCGAATAAATTCTCTTTCATCGACCCTCAATAAGAAATAAGTCCCGAAAGATGTACAGTAGAACCTCCGTTATACGAACACCGATTATGTGAACGTTTTATTATATGAACACCCGTTATGTCAACGTTCGATTATACGAACGTCCTGTTATTTACGAATTCCTGTTATTACGAAAGTAGAGGAAATCCACACGGAGGAATGATTCGAAAACTGGGCGGAACTTCCTGGCGTTGAAGTACGACGAGGTAATAAAGATATACGAGACTTTGAACGACGTTGGACAACGGGACTAGGAAATGAAGATCTAAGATGACCGGTAAACCACGCTCGTGGCGAAGTGTAAATGCGAAAAGTTGTTCTCGCGGGCGTGAAACATTCGTATACAGCCGGAAAATATCGTGAGACAGTTGATAGTTCGTGCGAATAACGGTGGGAAGATTCCTGGAAATTTTCTGTTTCTTCGTCACGGAAGTTCCTCCAGTGGTTTTCGAAAAGGAAGTTGCGTGAGTCTTTGAAAAGGAAGTTCCAGGAGTTTTCGAAAAGGAAGTTTGTCCGATTGGGGATTAAGAAGGTATTCTAGTCTAGACCATTGAAATACAGTCGATTATTCTTGTTATAATTTCTGAATGTATGAATTTTTAAATGCATGTCTGCGGATGGATCTGTCCGAATTTGTAAAATTAACGAATTTAAACTTTGAAATTAACCTGTTCTGCTTATTTTAACACGTAAATTACAAAAAGGAAATCGAGAAAATCGATATTCAAACTTCGAAATAAATATTCACTAGGAATGTCCCCAAAAAAAAAGGATATTCTTCCAATTGATTGTTAATATTGATAAATATACTTAAATTAAATACAGCCGAAGAATAAAAAAAAATTCTGTCTGGTCTTCATAAATTCGTTCCTGAAGAGGTTAAGCAACCCACACGACTGAGAAAAAAATAAGTTTGAAATAGTAGAACCAAAAATTGCAGATAAACCGTATGGCATATTGGTACTCTTACAATCGTCAGTGGGTTAAAACGTGCATAAATATATATGAAAAAGTGTAAAAATAAACCAAAAAGTCTTATGGTTTCTATATAAAAAAAAGAATCCTTAAAAAGATCTAAAAAATGACACTTTAGACTGGAATACCCCCTTAAAATGGTGAATGGGCGGGAAAGTAACAAAAAATACAGTGTAAACTCACCCTAAGCTTCTTCTTCCTGTCAGGGGTCATGAAACCCTTCTTCGCCTTCTTGGCTTTGGAAGCCTCCTCGAGGCGGGCACGGACCTCCGCCCTCTTTCTGTCGGTCTCCGCCTGTTTCCTCTTCTTTTCCTACATTTTCCGTGTGAAACTCCCTTAAAACATCTTATCTGACTACGTTTCGATGCTACGCGTTCAACGGGGACCGACTCGGAAGAATAATTCTTCGCGACGAAACGATTAACAATCTTACGAAGAACAAAAATAAATAAAAAAGACGAATACACAGGGTGAGCTAATGAAAACTACTATTTAAAATAACTCAAGATCTAATGAATTGTTTCGCAACAATACGTTTATTTTTTTTATTATTTTTATTATTTTTCTATATTTTGTTTTTAACAATAATGTTACGCATACAATAAGTTTTAATGAAGTGTACAGCATTTTAAAGGACGCATCGGATGGATACAATTTGATTTCATTATATCTTCTTTTTTTTAAATCAAGATGACCTTGAGTTTTTCTAAGGTCAATGCATCTTTTTCCTAATACCATCGTGCTATAGGTAACAATGTGGTATTAAAACAACAGATGCAATGACCTTGAAAAAACTCAAGATTGTCTTACTATCTTAAAAGAAATAAGACATAGAAAAATCAAATCGTACCCATCCGTTGCATCCCTTAAAATGCTACATAATTCATTAAAACGTTTTCTGATGCAATCAATAGGTAACGGGTTATTCTGGTATTTCTTATTGACTCACCCTGTATGTAAGAATATGTTGTTCTACTTAACAAATTTCGATAAAATAAAAGTTTAAATAATGTCAAAAGAACGGTGACGAGGCCTCGAAACAAAAAACGTCGTGGATAATCGTGCATAAGAAAAAAGGAATACGACAATACACGTTGTTCTGGGTTAGCTAAAATCGTGAAGTTTAAACAATTTTAAAAGTTTCGAACGATGACGAGGCCTCGATGCAAAAAAACCGTCGCGGATAACCGTTCCATTAGCGTGGCTGGACAAGTTAGTGAAAAAGTTTTTTCTCGCGTGGCGATCGTCCTTTTTCCGGTTGACTTTACGGTTCGCCGATAGTTTTCCCCCTCTTACGTACATCCTCGAGACGTTTCCTCTGTAAAGAAAAAGAGACGAGATCATGAGTTAAATTCGTTCGCGTGGCTCGGCGCGGACGGAACGCGAGGGCAACGGTCAAAACGTGTGTATAATAAATGAGCGATGCATCCTCCAAGAGGAAAAATTTCGTACGCCTCGAGTTCCGTCCTCAAAGGAGCTTGAAGCGTTCAGAAAGCTGTTTTTTTTTTTCGTGTGTGATTTGCAGCGATGTCTGTGTGTGCAACAAATTCTCAATCTTTATGTGGTACGGTAGAACTGCCAGCATCCGAGTTATACAAATTTCGAGACGATTGTATAATTGAAAAAATTTTAATATTAATTTTATTGTAAGATTAAATGTTTAATGTTAATTTTCAGATAGTGATAATCTATTTAAACAGTGATAATGGAACTAGATACTTCTTTCAAAGCGATCTCTATATATGTATTATCGAGGAATGAATGCAAACAGTTAATGGTAAATTGAACTAGAATAGATAAAAATAGATACAATACAAATACGAAATTCTGAATTAACATTTTATCAGAAGTTTTAGCCTGCGTTTTAGTGTAGGTTTACAGTCTGAGTCTTAATACCCACGTTCGTTATCCGTGAGTGATTGAACATACAACTGTACACTTTACTTCTAATAACTCGTAAATTATTTGCTGAACGAAAAAATGTTTCAAACAAAAGTTGCATGGTTCCCAAGGGGACATAAAGTACTTTAATCGACTTATCGTTACTTTGCCATTTTATCGAGATATGAATGATCTCGGAAATGATTAATTTTAGTACCTTATTTGGTATAATACCTTTTCGACGTAGAATTTAAAATACAAAAAGTGATCTTCCTATCTCGATGAAAAAATCAAGTAACAACAACTCGTCAACAGTACTGTATATTTTCGTAGAACAAACGATTTACAAATTATTCAAAGTCTTCATGTCACGAGACTCACCCTGTACGTACCACAAATAGAAAACAGAAAGTTCGAATATAATCAGAGTGTCTGAATGGCCAAGTATTCAAGTGACTTGATTTCGGTCGAGGGTAGTTCTACCGTACTTCAAATATACGCAAGTCGTGAATAGATCATAAATTGCGTGAACAGTCGACGACATGCATGATTGGTTCATATTCACGCCGAAGATTCGAACGAATCCCCTCTGGTCGCCAGTTCCATGAAACCCATTTCGTGTAATTGAAACTCTCTCGGGAACGTATGTGCAGTAAGTTTCCATCGAACACGCCGTTAATTATAAAGCCGTGAAGCGTGAGTAGCATGCAGCGGATCACAAAGGGCGCGACGCCGTCGCCAGGACACAGAAATATTTTGTCTTTCATGCGACCGTAGTGTTTACGTTACCCACAGGTATCTCTTGGTTATCTACGTTGCTCGTGCTTGGACAGGTCTACTCTATCGTAACACTTGCTCGCTACGGAAACGGTCTTTGGTCGAATTAAAGGATCACGCGACGACTGTTTTAAACACTTTTCCGTCGAAATAGTCAGAGACATAGGTATGAGCTTTCCGAGGAGAGGGGACAAAATAATTTATTTTATGAGAAATTTCATTATTTTTCCCCTTCACGGTGGGGGGGTGGGGGGTAGAAAATTTATCTTATCGGAAATTTCATAATATTATTTTCCTCCTCTAGAGTGGGAAGGGGGTAGAAAATTTATCTTAAGGTAAATTTCATAATATTGTGTTTGTCCTTAAGGGTGGGAGGGGGTAGAAAATTATATCTTATGGAAAATTTCATAATATTATTTTCCTCCTCTAGAGTGGGAAGGGGTAGAAAATTTATCTTATGGGAAATTTCATAATATTATTTTCCTGCTCTAGAGTGGAAAGGGGTAGAAAATTGATCTTAAGGTAAATTTCATAATATTGTGTTTGTCCTCAAGGGTGGGAGGGGGTAGAAAATTTATCTTATGGGAAATTTCATAATATTATTTTCCTCCTCTAGAGTGGGAAGGGGGTAGAAAATTTATCTTAAGGTAAATTTCATAATATTGTGTATGTCCCCAAGGGTGGGAGGGTGTAGAAAATTGATCTTATGGGAAATTTCATAATATTATTTTCCTCCTCTAGAGTGGGAAGGGGTAGAAAATTTATCTTAAGGTAAATTTCATAATATTGTGTTTGTCCTCAAGGGTGGGAGGGGGTAGAAAATTTATCTTATGGGAAATTTCATAATAGTATTTTCCACCTCTAGAGTGGGAAGGGGTAGAAAATTTATCTTATGGGAAATTTCATAATATTATTTTCCTCCTCTAGGGTGGAAGGGAGAGGGAGTGTAAAATGTATCTTATGTTAAATTTTATATTATTTTTTTCCTCCGGGGAGGGGGTCTAGTTTTTCTCCTCTAGAGTAGGACAAAGCCACTTTTTTCCCTCTGGGGGGAGGGCAAGTTCTATGCCTGGGGGCTTGCGTATCTCGTAATTATTTTTCGTTGGTAAGAAGCTAACGGGAGCTTCCTAGACGTTTAACCGTGATGGTAAAAATGCCATAAAGGGGGATTCTCAGACTTCGACGAGAAAGGGTTGAACGTCTTCGCGTGGCAAAAGGAAAGCGGAAGGAAACGGAAATACGCTTTTACTCCTTTCATCAAAAAGTTTCTCGTGTATGGAATTAATTTTCGACGCACAGAAGAAAATTTGTGATAGAATTCTGATGTTTATGTATCCCGAAAACATCTTCTGTGCCAATTCGAGTGCACCGAGGAAATAGAACGAAGGAGAAGAAAAACGCTGTTTCCGTTAAGATGTTGTAATATTGTGGGTGATGCAAGTGGCTTTGATAAATTATTCGGCGGATTTCGAGTCGGATGAGTTATTGTACGAGCATAGATCCTATTTTTAATACTGCGGTCTGCTAGTATCTCTAATAATAACTGTCATACTATAGGTATATTGAATCTCGTCCTTTACATTTGCTTCGTGCATTGCAACATATTCGTAAGAATATATATTCCTCTTTTTGTATCCAATGTAGTAAGTGCAACAAAGACTACAAGATGAAGATTATTATTATTATAATTATGAAAATATTATTATATAAATTATGAAAAAATATTGGATATTAAAAGTGCAACTACATTCCATTTTTGAACATTTAATAATTTTAAATTTATTATTTACATTTCTTTGCCTAATGGTCATTCATTCGTTACTTTACCCTACTAACTTAATATGGTTGAAGTTCATGAAAACTCGAGTCAAAATGACCCAGTCATCGTCCTCCAAGGGCTACCATATTTCATTTAACTTTCTACCGAACCAGAATCTACCGAACAATCTATCAAAGCTCCTTCCAGTCGTTGTGAACCACCCCATATACAGTGGATGAAACATTTTTACAAACACGAATGGATGTATATAGGAGGTGTAAAAGGAACACCGTGAAGAACGGAGAACAGATAGAGTATACGGGCAGGAGCACACGGTGGTAAATAATGTTGAAATAAGGACGTGAGTTGGCCCGATAAATCAGAGGCAAAGTCCATCCCACGGAGGCAACCGACATGTCGGCCGTAATACTTCCGGATCTATCTCTTACTCTCCCGGGTGGACGAGATTTTACGTTTATATACCAGCGAAATATACGTCGGTTATACCACGAAAAGCGAAACACGTTATCCCAGCCATCCAAAACTTTCGATAACTTTCCCTCCGTTTTTATCTTCGACAGAAATATTGACGTAAGAAGTTCATATTTACTTTTCGAGAGCTCTATCTACACCCGATTCGGCCAGAAATAGATTATTCATTCGAGGGAAAAAGAAAGCACCGAAGTAAACTCGAATGCAAAATGATATTCGTAGGATTTCCGCGAGGACTTTCCCTCCGTTCGGGTGGGAACCGTATTACGGGTAATCCGGTATTCCATAAAAAATGAGCAGCTAAGGAAAGACGGATGGAAAATAGAAAAATCAGAGGAGCCAGGGATTCCACGAAGTTCCGCTGTACAGGAAAAAAAAGAAGGAAAAATCGAGGTGGGATTCATCGCAACGGGGATAAACTTCTACGATCTCCTCGTTATTGTTTAGGGACACAAGGAAAACTACCGTCAAACTGCGTGGTTCCTTGTGGACCACCTTCTGCGTAGTCGCATCAGGTTTCCACTTTAAAAAAAAAAACCAGAAAAAAAGAAGGGGAAAAAAAGACACGGAGCTCCGGTCGATTCGGAGCTCCGACATGATCGAAGCTTTCGCTTATTCGCGAAGCTCCTTCTACATCTAACACATCGACTACCAAGCAAAAAAATATTTAATACGGAGCAAAATTCAAAAAGTCTCCAACGTAAGAATGCTGTCGTGTGATTGCACGTGGATTGATTATGTTTCTTTCTGTTTTGTTTTATTTTTTTTGCCCGAATCAAATTGTTTCTAAGGGGGATGGTGTCGTGTCTCCAGGGGTGGGTTTCTCACAAAGACAAACAACACAAACGATGCGTACCTTTCGAAACGGTTAATTATACTGCGTGTTCCAAACGGAGAGGGGAAGATCCATTGTTCGTCATTTCCGTGTAAAGTCAAGATTCAGGTGCATTGAACATCCGTGGCCGGCGAAACATGAAAAGGAGAAAAGAAATATGTTAAAAGGCGATCGATCGACGAAATGTTCCATGGGATCGATACTACGATCTTCCAGAAAATCATGGAACAGATTTGTAATTTTTATTTTATTCTGTTTAGGGTGAATATATGTCTGTGCAAAATGTATGGGATGTTATGCGGTGTCTGCTAAATTTTGTATAACAAAATATCTAACACGTTTATTGGTATTGTAATTGACAGACGAAAATTATCCTATGCGAGAAAACTCAATTTCTAAACAGAAATACTTACAATCTCATGAATTCTAACAGAGAGTAATGGTCGAAATGATTAACGTACAAGTTAACACAAAAACATTTAGATTTTTTATAGCAATAATTTAAATAGATGTATCTCCACACAACATTGTAAGTATAGTAAAAACTGTAGCACTCAACGTGTTAATAAGTGTGTGATCGAATGTCTGGTTTCTGATTCATTTACAGGCTTGATAGAATCTTAATTGATTAATACAAACTTTACTACAATTCAAATATCTACAAATTACACCATAGGGTGCTATACTTGCGTACACATCCAAAGTATATTCTTAATATTTAATAAAACTTTCCCTTCATTTTCCTCATCAAAACCTTAAGAAGAATGAAAATTAGATTGATAAAATAAATTGTGCTCCTATTAAAGGAGATGTTTCCGGTACCCACCTAACCTCATCGTCCGCCATCTTGGTACCTGGCTGCTACACGCGTCTACCTAAAAATAAAGTGTATAGAGAACGGTTGTTTCACGTATCCGTGGCAAAATAACAATAACGTCGCTGGTTATGTCATCGTGCTTTATTTCATCTCGATGGGGCAGGTCAAATGGATGTGTATATATATTTCGAAGATGCAAACATTATAAACGGCCGTTAAATATAAACGCGTAGAAAAAAGAAGTAGGGTAAACGCACCAATGAGTGAACACTTACAGGATGTTGCAACTAGTAAAATCGAATTTTAAACGATAATAATATTAATATATATTTGGCACATAAAAATTAGATTTTTTAATATCTGTACCTTTCCACAACGTACAGATTTCTATATGAAAAATTAAGAAATGTAATTCATTAAGGCCCTTTTCTTCTCTAGCAGCCCGAAAAAGTGATATTTAGGAATTTTTTTAAAGAATGCAACGAAGATATGATAAACAAAACTTCCTGGCCTTTAATTATTATATATTCATGTAAGTAAAAAAAATTTTTGTGTCTCCTTTTATCTGGCCGCTAAAGGGAAATTGGGCCAAGAGATCTTTCCATTGTGAAATCCTAAAAAATTGTCATTTTTTGAGAATTTTTTTTCCGTGAGCGAAATGTTTAACACAACTGAAGTGTTGTCTAGTTATTAATACACTTATTGATAGTACAACAAAAATTTTTTTGAAACATTTAATAGTTTTTTTACACATATATTGTACTAAAAAGAGCGCCAAGAAAAAATTATGTACTGCTTTGAAAATATTTATCTATACTCTCAATAAGTGTATTAATAAATAGACAACACTTCATTTACGTCAAACATTTCGTTCACTGAAAAAGAAATTCCCAAAAAAATGCCAATTTTCCAGATCTTCACAGTGGCAAGATCCTTCAAATTAAAACGAAAAACCACAGATTTCACCTATACATGAAAATTTCTAACCAATCTGAACTGAATGAAACTCAATATTAATTATTTGCTTATTTTAATAACTCAATTTACTCGTTTTACATATAATATTCAGTACTATTTTATTTTATATACAAATTTCATCCATTAATATATTATTTTATATATAAATTTCATACATTAATATATTATTTTATATATATAATATTCGGTACGTGTTCATTTATTGATGCATCCACCCTAGAATGATGCTAAAAGAATCCCACCCTCTACTCCCGGGATTGCGTCACCCCAATAAATTTTTTTTCTCTCTCTGGACCCAATGACAGCCGTTTCCAGTGGATCCCAGCGATAAATCGTCGGTTTCCCCGCGTAAATTTTCGCCCTCCTCGCGCAAACGGACGCGTACGACGGCGGTATAGAATATCCGGCCGCTCGAAAATAGACTCGTCGTCCCCCACTATCCCAACCGTCGCGTCCCGACAACACACCGACGACGACGACGAAGACGATCTACGTCGGGTGCGTCGGTACGATCCAAATTTGGATGCAACGACCCGGTAGACACTCTGGTCGCCTCGACTCGGTTCGACGTCGAGGAAACGGAAAGTCAAGAATCGAATTCTGGAGAAAAATGGGACCGATAAGGGAAGCCCTTCTGGGAGCCACCCTGATAAGGCGAAACCGTATTCACCTGGATAACGAAACGTATCCGTGATATTTCTCACGCGAAATCTCGATGACTCTCGGTTAATACAGGCGATAAGAAGCAAAAAAAAAAAAAAGAAACATTGATTCATCGATGGAATTTTCGTTAAACCACCCGAGAGACCGTGAAAGGAGAGAAAGAGAGAACACTTGAAACGCCTCCTCGCGTCAGAGGATGGAAATAACTGGTGTTAAATATAGAAACTAGGATAGAGTTTTGTTTTATCGTTACCGAAACAATAATCGCGAGCGGTTGGGAACGGATCGGAAACGTTCCTGTGTGCAATCGAGAATGAATTTCGAGAATTTCCGGGATTGAGGTTACAGTAAATTCTCGATAAGTGGTCGAAGGATATTCGACATTGACAAAGAGAGGTCATCAGGTGTAACACTGACTTTTTACTGAGGTTTAGCACAGAGAACTTGAAATTCTGAAGCCAATGATATTTATTTCAAACGTATATGGCTATTAATTTACGAAATATTTAATGTTCAGGCCCGAGGAATCTTCGAACACTCATCGAGGATATACTGTAACGAAAGTTATTCGAAGAATTGGTTGATGAACGATCGTGTCGTATTTAGAGAACGGAAGGTAATTCATTTTCTTGGCTAGGGGTCTTACGTGCCGACGTGGAAACGACGGCAATGTGTCGGGTACAATGTTTCAAAATAGCTTCCAAATTTACCCGCGTGCATCGATTGTGTAACCTGCTTGTATGTGCACGCGAGACGACATTCGAGTCTATCTAGTTGCTCCGCGAAACTGCATTAAAATTACACGGTACTGGTGGGGATGGTTCCTAATCCATTCATTTATTGAACAAAGAATCTCTTCCGTGAATAGGAGAATATTGCTCGTGGAACAATTGAGAAGTTCATTGCAAGAGGGGGCTATACCACAACAGTAGCTTTTTGAGATGTTATCCCAATCACTGCATCTTTTTCTATCTTGTGCCAAACATTTTTTTTTCTTTATAAAAACAAGAATCAATAATCGTTTTGAAACTATTTAAAACATTTTTTTTATAAAGAATATGTTTTCTCACGATATGTCCCTCTTCCGGGACATTTTTATTCAGACTAGAAAGAATATTTTTTTTATTCTTCGGCTGTATTTAATTAAAAAATATTTGTAAATATTAACGACAATTAATTGGGGAAATGTCCGTTTTTGTTGGGAAATGTCCCAGTGAATATTTAATTACAGTTTCGAGGTGATGCTTGAATAAAAGAAAAAGTAAATGTACACGTAGGTGGCAGTATTTCTCAAGAGGTTAAAGAAGTTTGGTACCGTCGATCGGCAAGAAATGTTCCAAATATTGTCACGAAAGTGACGAAGTAGGCGTCTACTATAGTAGACAAATGCACTTAGGGAGTTACGGCTTTTATAGAAACTAGTATACATCATAGTATACTATGATTTTATATATGTGCATTCATAATACAGGCAGGAATTTCGACGACAAAAACTATAATCCATGTCTATCAGATCGATAAACAAAACAAAATTTTGAAAATTTACAAATTTATAAGTCAACGAATTTCTTCACTTTCAAATCGTAATAAAAGGTACAAACGATCCGAGAAAATATACAGTAAATCCGTGATGAGTGCTCGAAGGTTAATAGTCTCTAATAGTAATCAGTAACACCGACTTTTTAATGAAGATTAGCACAGTGATAGAGCTTGGCATTCTTTACCCAATGATACTTGTTTCAACCGCATACGGCCATTAGTTTATAAAATATTTAATGTTCAGTGCCAAGAAACTTTCGAAAATTCATCAAAAATTCACTGTACTATGAAAATAAATCAAAGTTGTCGAAATTGCACTGGCAAACTAAAAAAAAAAATATTTCGATGAACGGGGAATCGATCCGAGGACCTCCGATTTACCATTCAAACAATCTTCTTCCTCTATACGTTTGACTTCAGCCTTCGAACGCTCGTCAAAGATTTACTGTATCGTCACAACATTGTAATCATCGTTACAAGAGTCTACCGTTAAGTAATTTCGACTTGTTCGGTAATTCCATTACTAAAGGACACTAAATAACCACCAAAAGGTGCCTAGAATTAACAAGAAATCCCATTTTTCAAAATTTCCCAGTTCCCCTCCCTTTAGCATTCGATCCCACAGAATGTTCCAAGCAGAAATAAACGACACGATTTCGTTGATCGAAGAGAAATTCGTACGATATCATCTGTCCAGAAGAATTTCATTCGATCACTGGCGCGCGTCGCCGCCTTTTATATTTGTAATGGGCGATCGCCTTCGCCTAAGTATAGATTCCCTCTCGCTCGAGCCATTCCAAGACACGGTCCCGCCGTGGCTCCGATGTGTGTCTCTCGTCTCCGATGTCAAAGACGATCGCCCGGCACCGTAAAAATAGAAAACACGTCGAGAGAGTCCGCACCTCGCGGCCGACACCTCCTTCGCAGGCATCGTTCGGATCAAAATCCACCCGTGGATCTACGTGCTGAGATAGAGGATCGGTAAATCATGCCAATGAATCGATCGCAGGAAGAATTCATCCTGCTTTCGTAAACAGATGCCGTCGAATTCGAAACGAGCCAGATCGGACACGAAGAACCGGAAGATCAAGGTGCTCGGTTGTTAGAATAGACGGGACCGATTCAGACGCGTCGTGAAGTAGGCTATATCCGTCGAGGATTGATATCGGTAACCCCGACGAAATACTGGTACAAGGCTGTTCAAGTGTACTATGTACGAGCAATCACGGCTTCCGGCAGGGGATAAAGGGCCACTGTCCATAATATTATTTCAATCCATAAATTTATTTCAAGTACAGTAAATACTGGGTGAGTGTTCGAAGGCTTCTCGGCAGTGAACATTAAATATTTTATGAACGCCATATACGGTTGGAATAAATATTATTGGCTAACGAATTCCAAGCTCTATCACTGTGCTTGACATCGTTGAAAAGTCAGTGGTACACCTGGAGACCTCTTCTTGTCAGTGCTGAACACTTATTGAGGACTTACTGTATATAGATACCAAACGATCTGTCAAATGTTTCGAATAACCTCTTTAACCATTCCCTAAATTCTTCCACGGACATCCTCCGAGTGAAAGAAATGTTGAACCGATTGTTGATTTGGCATTAATTTTAGTGACTCCAGAGACCAAGTGGTACAAGGCCTTTCCACTTGGGGATAAAGTGGCCGTAAGGGTTACAGTATCCGTAAGGCTTTGCCTTTGCATCCTACCACTTGATAAATTTATATCGAGTACTTAAATAAATGTTAAATCAAATGTTAATTTCGCATAAATTTCGCTGACACCCGAGACCAAATGCTAGGAGACCTTTCACCATATACAACTTTTTCCCCTAGCGGAAGCAGAGTTTTCTCGTAGGTTCCCCTTACAGTTTCCGCTTATGGAGAAACGCCTCCAACCAATCAGTAAATTTTTTTCAAGTACTAAAATAAATGCCAAACCGAACCTTAATTTGACATAAATTTTAGTAATTCCCAACACCAAATGGTAAGAGATCGTACGTCACTTTTCCCCTAGCGGAAGCTGAGTTTTCTCGCAGGTTTCCCTTACACTTTTCACTAAGAGAAAAGTGGTATATAGAGAAAGCTTCCTACAACTCGGTAAATTTATTTCAAGTACTGAAATAAATGTTGAACGAAATATTAATTTCACATAATTTTCAATAATTCCCAAGACCAAATGGTAGGAGTTCCGCCACTTTTTCCCCTAGCGGAAGCACAGCTTTGTCCAAGCCACCATGATTTCTTTCTAGCTGATAGGAGACCGTTCTCAACACGATCTTCGAATCTGGATGGAATTATCGACGACGAACAACCGCGAGAATACGTATTGGGTACTTTAAAAGAGGCGAAGCCGTTGGGTTCGGCTAGAAGAGTCGGGGATTTCCAGCTGAGTGTCTCCCTCGATGATAGAAGGAGCGTCGAACTCGAAGTTAACAAAATAGGAAGGATCTTGGTCTCACGATCTCTGTCACTCGACCCTCCTCTCGCGGTCACACGGCAGAATCTCACTCGGATCGCGCGCCAAATAAAACAAAAAAATAAACGTCACAATATATACACCCCCGACGTGGAGGGAGGGGGGGGGGAACGAGTATCGAAACAAGTCGACAAACGCAACACCAGTGACCTTGAAAACGGTCTCTCGCCGTTTTAACACACCTATCTCACTGACACACTCGATAGAAAGAAGAAGAAGAAGAAGAAGAAGACGAAGTCCCGCGGGGGTTCGAAGAACGAAGAGGATCTTCGAGCTGTCCGAGTTCCGCGGATCCTGATGACGGAGAAGCACGCGTGCGTTCCAGGCGCAGTCCTGCCCGAAGACGAGTTCTCTTTTTCTTTTTTTTTTTTTTGGTTTTTTTCTTTTCTTTTATTTTTTTTTTTTTTTGATAGGCTTACCTTGAGAAGATACTTTTGCTGGCTGCGACTGGCCAACCGGACCTTAGGCAGCTGACTGTGCCATCGTGGGTCCCTAGCCGACGTCGTGAACCTCCCGTCCGCTGGCTGTTCACGTGGTCGGCGACCGACCAATCACGGCGTCGCATCGGCCGTAAGCATTTTTAGGCGAGAGCTCTGCCCCGTCCGCCTGCTGCCAAAAATAATTCGGAAACTGAAAACGGAGCCGAGACCTGCCCCGCCTCAGCCGTCGTTGACTCGCCAGAGGCGATCATCGGGATCCTCCTAGCGTCGGTTCTTTCCGAGACAGAACGGAACATTTAAGTGTGTCCGATCCCGCCAGGGTACCGCCGTTATGCGTGCCGGCGTGGAAAGCGGGGCTTCCTCGTTTTCCCTTTCATTCGGTAGTAATGAAGATCGATCGAGAGGGGAGGGATCGTGGTCGTTTAATTAGCATCGGGCTCAGGGTTGGCGGGGTAACGTTTCAAAACGTTTCCGCGCGATGGAACCCAATGATCTTTCGGTCCTTGGAATTTTTCCCGCGGGAAATTGTATGAGAATTTGGGAAATGGAACCTATGCAGTTGTATAGGAATGGAGAAATGGTTAATTCTGTCGAGATTCTGGTAGAATTGTGAAGAGTTCGTAATTCGTTGCAGAAAATCCTCGATGAGTGCTCGGATCCTCGAGTGTTCAGACGTGATCCCCCCCCCCCCGGATTAAGATTTTTTGTGGCCTAGGGATATCAGACTTTCGGGGGCCCTTTCGGTTGAAAAGCAGGGAGGGGTGGATTTTTTGTAATACAGCACAACGAAATACATAAATCTTCAACAATTGAAATTTATTTTAAATAGAATTAAATAACATTTAATCATTACGAAATGGAAGGAAAAAAGAGGGCCCCCCGGAAAGTGGGGCCCGGGAATACAGCCCCCCAAAAACCCCCCTTGATCCGGCCCTATCCCCCCCCCCTCCCACTGGGCGCTTGACTGGTTTCTTTGTGGTCTTTAGGCTCTTGTTTAGTTGTATTTCTTTTGTTCCTGTAGTGAACGCTAGGTACAGTAAATCGTCGATGAGTGTTCGAAGTCTTCTCGACAAACAGAGGTCCCTAGGTGCAACGCTGACTTTTTAACGAGGTTCAGCACAGTGATAAAGCATAGAATTCGGACACCAATGATATTTGTTTCAGCTCTATATAGACATTAGTTTATGAAATATTTAAGGTTCAGTGCCGAGGAGCCTTTGAGCATTTATCAATGATTTACTGTATTCGGCTGATTGATGATTAGTAGAGGGTTTGGAATGGAGATCAGTTGGTAAATTGGAAGTGAAAGAGATCGTAGGAGTATGAGGCGTGTCGAGGCAGAACGAAGATATTATTAACGGATCGTTCTGGATTTCGTTGGGGCAGCTGTTTGGCACTAAACCGCGGCAACGCTGACGGAAACATCGCTGGCTAAACGTAACTCTTACGAACGCGACCGATGTAATGTCTTCTGCGAATTGTCGCGTCATCTCTGACCTGTAATATTACAAGCCACATACTTTCGAAAAATTATAATCAATTCGGTTGATCCACTGATTTCTAACGATCGATTAGAATTTTATTAAATTCGATATTGCAATTTCGATTAACCGATCGAAGTAAGCAAGTTATTCTATTTTATCTACTGAAATTAATATCCGCATGTGTTCGTATATTTATTTTCGAATTTGAAGGGATCTCTCTTCGCTCGAATCTTTTTCTCGAATAATGGAAACGTTAGAAAGTAGATTGAATTTCGTGGATCGAGGAAATGATTTCGAGTTCTATAAAAAGTGCCGGGTCTATTTAAGGAGACCAGTTTCCCCGATGTACCATCGCGGTCCGCGTCGTGGATCGTGATATTCGTCGCGGTTGAAAGCCACGCACGGCTAAAGTAGGAAACTCTGGATCAAGTAGAACAGCCCTGTTTACCCACGGACACGTGATGTATAAAGTGGAATGGGCCCGTTTACCACAGACACGTAGTGCATATCGACCATTCGTCGGACGAGGACGAACCGTCGATAAGGCAGAAACCTGTGCTCGTTTTACCGATTAAGCAACAACGAACGGTTACATACTTTCTGTTCACGAAAGATGGCAGAAGTTATTTGTGGTCGAAATTGTTGATATACAGGGTGGCAATAAAAATGTGCAACACTTTCATAGGGTAAATTCTATATGTCACACTAACAATGAAAGGCTCAGAACTCAGCACATGACACCTTGAAGACACCCATTTTACGGTTATTTTAGGTCTAAGCCGTCTTTAAGCCGTCTTCAAGGCGTCATTGGGCGTCATGTGCTATCTAGGAAGTGTCCCAAGTCGGTTTGTGCAGAGTTTTCGGTGTACATCTGTGAAAAGCATTCGTAGAACATTAACTGCAGATGGCCATTCATTTTTAAACCCTTCAGACCTGGTGGTCACATTTGTGTACATGAAGTTTTTTACAATTTCACACAAAGCCTTAGGTATAGTGTGTTGCAGATCCATATTTTTGTTATAATTTTGAATTTCATTCATGTTCTGAATGTTTTTGGAAATTCTAGCGAATTCAGAATTGAATAACATTACAAAAATAAAACTATTGGACATATAAACATTTTTTTTAAACAAAATGTCATCTAAACAGTCTACTGAGGTAAAATTTTTTGTTTACATTTTTTTTTATTCTTAAAAGAAAATTAATGTCAAATGGATAAAACTAAATCGTGGAATAGTTGAAGAACGCGCCTCTCAAGTAGAATAACCTGTCTCGTGAGGCGTATTTTACGCGAATTTTTCCCGTATTTTCAACAATTAGTAACTCAGAAACGAAGCCTCAAAAGCAATTTCGTCAATTATTGATTTTCATTTCAGTTTGACATGTAGCATCCACTCTGTGAAAGTGTCCCACTTTTTTTATTAACAGTACATATACATATAACTAGACTGTGGATTTTTATGAAAATATCAAGCGTTCGAGATTTATTTATGGAAAGTAGAAAGACAGGAAAATTTATTTACTGCATCAAACGTTGAAACAGATCCCACATAAAATGATAACCATACTAAACTTTATTGAATATATTATACTGAATTTCTGACTCTCGGGTACACTATAAATACATAATATCAACCGCCAGCATATGAAACATCAATGTGTATTCAAAAATTAATACACGGTTGCTGAAGCTAGAATATATAATACATGTTATTATGTGTACCAATCCATTATTCTGTCGCATTCACCGTCCATTTTGAACATAATTAATCAGTTTGATGGTCTCGTCAATAAACAACAGATTTAATGCATTTCTATTTGAGTCTGTAAATCTCAATGGTACAAATTAACATTTTTATTTTATATTCGACTTAATAAATCTCTTAGTTAGGAAAGTCAATTGTTCTTTTAACTTAGTTTCCGTAAAATAGTCTATGGAAGTCTGTATTTGCATAAACATCTCCAATCAATTTGTTAATTATTGTTGTCATTCGTCAACACAATACATTACTTTTTCAAGTAAAAATTCAAAAACTGGTATATTTTTAATCATTCATTACAAACATCTACTAAAGAAAGTAGTGGATTATTTATTGATACATACAATATAATAATTTCGAAGATATACTGAAATAAACTCATTTCGGTCAAAAGATCAGATTAACAGCAGCTTATGAAAACCTATGGAAAACAGATGTAGATCTGGAACCAACTGAAACATCAAGTTCATGCATCACTGCCCCATCAGCTGAACTTATAATCAAGTTAGTTCAACAGTTCTAGAGACTCCTTCCGGATGAGATTAAGTCAATCGACGTCACTGAAATGTCGCTTTATTATTCATGGAATCCTTTAAACACATTTCTTAAAGTGTTATATCTACAGGAAAAGTAACACATTAGGTCTAACAATTTGTTCTAACAAACATACTTTACCTCAACAAATGTTTTAATAACCATCTACCTTAATAATCTAGTAACACAGCTTAAATTCGAAAAATTTCCACGTCATTTTATTTTATAAATATTATGAAACAAGATATTGACAGATAGACTACGGATTTTATGCATTTATATCCTACCTAAACAATTACCCTAACAGCATAACAAGCAACTAACGATTCTTTTATTGATATCCATTTCATTTTCCAATCCACCCCGTTTAAAATTTAAAGCCACTTAAACCTTCCGCTATCCAGGATCCGCCATTAATGTGAAGGTTATTAAAAATAACTTCCACGGTACAGGTATGTTCCCTGGAGATGGCGGGGAGGGAGGACTGACTGGTCTGAGGGGTGGAATAGGTGCGAGAGGCTGGTGGGGTAGCTTCGAACCAAAGGTGATTAACCCGGCGTCCCTGTTGCCACGACGACGATCCCGTGACGTCACGGGACAAGCCGGGGTTTATGGGTGACCCACATTCCAAAAATAGCCATCACCGACCTACCATCCCACCCCTCTACCGCGTCGCATTTACCCCCGAGCACTGTCGCCCGCTGAACCACCGACCCCGTCGCCGTGCCCTATCCCCCTCGACCCTCACCATTTTCCTTCCTCCGTTACCCATCCTCCACATCCTGGACTGTTCCTTGTTTTTCCTACCTGCTGGCGAAACTGCAAACGTCACGGCTCCGCAGACTCTATGAAGATCGAGATACCGGGGAAAAAAAAAGGAACAACGCTAATCACGATTTCGTTAAGAATCGTTTTGGTCCTTCGAGTGACCTTCTACAAGGGATATGTAAATCAGGTTACTTTTATTACCAACAAGTCTAGAATTTAGAAGACGTGATAGGACGGTATCGGCAATCGATTCAGGGGTTGAAGGAGAAACGTATATGCACAAGGTTTTGAGGTTATGTGTTTAGAACGCGAGGGAAATCTCGTGATCGACGAGGTTAGGAAAGA